GCCAGCCTCCGTGCCGCGTGGGGAGCTGGGCACGCAGCCTCTCTCCAAACTGCCACCCACAACCCTGCTTCCCTGCCCCCACGCACAGGGCACCAACAGCTGGGCCGTACCCTGCGCTGCACCGCCTCGCTGCCCTCCTGACAGGCCTGCCTGGTCCCTGGGCGAGTGTGGGGGAGAGGGCGGCCCTCCACCTGCTCCCAATGCCTGGAAGCATCACAGTGGCGCTTCTGCCTCGCCTGGCAGCTCCGAACCGGCTGTTCCCTGCCACCAAGCAGGCGAGACCATGGCCGTGCTTCCACCAGGGAAGCAATGGGCAGGGAGAGGCCCAGGGATGCCTGCAGCAGGCAGTGGGGCTGGTGGGAACGGGGCCGTAGCAGGTGAGGGCACCGTGCAGTCGAGAAGGCTTTGCTTCCAGCCCCTTCCCCTTCCTTGCACGAGCCCAGAGCCTCAGCCAGGGCCCATACAAGTGATCGGAGCCTGCTCTGGCCTGGCAGCTGCAGCTGCTCCCTGGGCCCACACCCCTCTGGTGCCACCAAGGGCAGGGACGGCAGCCAGGAGCGCCGGTAACAAGAGGAACATTTATTCTGGAACCTGCTCCTTCCCCACCTGACACTGATGCACTTCCCAAGCCCTGGGGACCCTCGTGCCCCCCAGGTCCCCACGCGCTGCCCGGACCACGCTGGGTGTGAGCCCATCAGGAGGTGCATGGAGTGAGGGGGGAGCAGGTGGCTGCCCGCCTGTTCTCCCGACAGATCGCACCAGTCAGTTCTGGAAGGGGCAAGAAGGCCACATCAGCTGCCAGGATGGGTGAGTGCTCCCTCCTGATGACAGAGCAAGGAGCCAGGAGGGGCAAGTTAAAAGCTGAAGGCAGAAGGGGTGCAGCTGCCTGCGCACTCCAGAGAAAGCCTGGAGCATGGGAGCGTGTCAACAGCGGGCTGTAGACAGTCGGCAGAAAGCCTTTTCCCTCTCCCAGGCGGGGCTGCCCTGGGCCCTTTGCGGTGCCAGGGGCAGGTGCAGCGCCAGGTCCTTGGTTACAGTGGTTGGTCCCGTATTAAAATGGAAGATAGATACATATCTGTCTATAAACGGGTGCCCGCAGGAGGCCCCGGTCCCAAGCCAAGCGCTGATGAGTAGGGTTAGAAGGATCAGCAGAGCCAGGTCTCCTCCCAGCTCGAGACGTGGCAAGAACTATTCACAGCTTGCGAGTGCAGATGTCCCTGCTGCCCTGTGCTGGTCCCAGGGGCTCAGCAGGACGATGACGACTCCCTGGAAGGCGCACGGGCCGGCAGGCGCTTGCAGCAGTCCTGGGACAGAGGGATGGGAGCCTTTAGCATGCCTGGGACACGGGAAGCCATGGGGCAGTGTGGGGGGTCGCATGTCCCTCCCTACCCGGCTCCTGCCCCTCCAGCCAAGCCCTAGGGCATGGGTTGGTGGCCAGCAGCATGGGGAAGTCCTCACCTCTTTCCTGCCCTCAGACGATTTCAACCTTGCTCGAGCTGCGTGGGTGGCTGGTGATCCAGACAGTTTCTGTAACTGAACAGTGCAGGTGACTGGTGAGAGCAGAGCGGACCGAGGCAGGGCCTGGCCACCCCCAGAGGCTCCCTGCGGGCAGGCTGCCTGGTTAACAACTACTCCCTTACTCAAGCCTGGCCCAGGGCTTTGACTCTGGAGGAAGAGCCATTTCCCTGGCCACGAGAGCGTAGATCAGCCCCTCCCCAGCTCGGCTTAGAGCTGGGCCTGGTGCTGAAGCAAGAGGCAGGACAGATCTGGAGACTGATATGCCCACGAGACTTTCAGAAAGGCTGGAGTGCCCAGAGAGGGTGAAGGAGAGATCCAGGGCACTGAGAGGCAGAGGGAGGAGCTCAAAGGCAAGAACAAGGGAACGAGGGTGGTGTCACCGGGGAAGGAGTGGGGAAAAGGTACAGAGGACAATGCCCAGACAAATGCAGCAGCAAGATGGGAGCCCCGAGGCCCAGGACCAGTGGTGTCAGGGCTCTGGTCCAAATGCAGACCGAACTGAGGCAGAGTCTAGCCAGCACCGTCCTCCTATCCCGCCCAGGCCACGCTGGAAGCCCAGGGCTGACCAGTGGGTGCTTAGAGGGGGCGAGCACTCACCAGCTGTATGTTCTCCTTGCTGGCGTGCTCCGGCTCTGGCGTGGCATCCCCGCTCTTCCTCTCCAACATCACTGGGGTCCCCAGCACCTTCCGCTACTCAGGAAAGGAGAGGGTTGTTGGCAATGAAAGGGAGGGCATTGGCACAGCCCAGTCCCCATCTCCAGCCTGGGCTGTGCCTCTGGGGGAAGCTTAAGCACCCCCTGACACATGGAGCAGAAAGTGGGGGTGGGCAACCAGCACAGCCCAGAAGCCTGGGAAATACCGCAGCAGGCGGTTGCTGGAAAAAGGCACGAGAAGCAGGAGTCTTGGTAGTCCACAGACTCAGTGCAAGTCTGCCATGATGCAGCTGCTCAGAAAATGACTGTGATTTTGGACTAAATCAGTAGAAGCATTAGGTACAAGATGTGGGAGGTGACTGTGCCTCTGGGACTGTGCCTCTGGATACCGTGTGCAGTTCTGGGCTCCACATATGAAAAAGGGCGTGGAGAAGTGAGAGAGGGTCCAGAGGCTGGTGAGCAAGATAATCAAGGGCTTGGAAGGCAAGTCCTATGAGGAGAGGCTGAAGGAGCTGGACATGTTCAGTTTGCAGAAAAGGTACTTGAGAGAAGACGTGAGAGCAGTCTGCAAATCCCTGCAGGGCTGCCAGAGAGAAGAGGGAAAGCCCCGTTCTTCCTTGCCACAGAGAGAGAAGGACGTGGGTCAATGGCTTGAGGTTGCAGCAAAGCAGGTTTAGATTGGAGATTGTAAAACACTTCTTCACCATCAGAGCAGAGAGGCCATGGGAGAGACACCAGGGAAGGGGGACTTTCCGTCACTGGAGGGTTCGAGGAGAGGCCAGGCAGCCACTGATTGGGGATGATCTCGGCACGGCAATGCCCGTGTTCTACCATGGGAATTGCCCAGGCTTCCGGGCATTGCTGGTTGCTCCCACCCCCTCCCTTTTTTCTGCTCCGTGTGTCTGCCCTGCTCTCCCATAGTGCTGGCCAGACAGCCGGCTGGCTACCCAGCGAGGCACCTCACCCTCTTTGAAGCCTCACTGAGTTCCACAGCCGGGGACACAGGACACTGGACTCTGTCAGCTCAGCTGTGCTGGCCTGGCCATAAGCCTTCGTGTGCTGTGCCTGCCTCCTCTCAGCCAGGCTGTCGCCCAGTTGTCTCATGGGCTCAGAACAGCAGGACTAGAAGGGGTCTGGAGAGGGCCCTAGTGCAGCCCCCTGCTCAAGGCAGGAGCCTCAGTCGTCTCCTCCCAGGTAAGCAGACCCATCCTGTCCAACTCTCCAGGCCTCATCATGGGTTCCTGGCCCTCTCTGACCCAGAATGGTTCCCGGGCAAAGTGCTCAGTGGCTGAGAAGCTGGCATCTGTTTCCCAGCCTCTCTATAGAGGGTTTGCTTGCTCCTCTGTGTACCCCAGGCTCAGCTAGGATCTTTGCTGGACAGGGCCCTCCCCGGGTCTGCTCCAGGCAGGCCCAGAGAGGCTGCAAAGGACAGGCAGCTGTGCAGAGCTGGAGTGTGCTTCCCCTTCCCATACAGCAGCGACCAAGCGCTCCCACCACATACCTTGATGAGGCCGCTGAAGGATCGGGACCGGGTGCGCCGCTGCACTGGGGGTGTGGGCACATTGGATCCAGGAGTGACGGCCCCAGGGAGCTTGTGGAACTAGGAGGAAACCAAGATCATGTTAACAGAGTCCTGCTAGTGCCCTGCTCAGCTCCAGCTTCCCCCCGTTCCAGATCCCAAGAGAGCCCTGCCATCCCCAGTGCACTCGGTATCTAGAGGCCCCCAGCCCAGGACAATACACAGAGCAGAGAAGCAGGGTGGGGGTACTGCCTAGGGCACCCCCCAGCACTACCTGCCGGATGAGCTTCTTCTTCTTGGCCGAGTCAGGCATGTTGTGGACATGGCGGAAGAGCTCCCGGAGCGCCTCCTCTGTGCGCTGCTGTGTCTCCTGCCGTGGCGAGGGCTCCGGCCTGCCCCGCTTCGGAGACTTCAGCGGCTGCAACTCCTTGGAGGCAGGAACCATGGGCAAGTCCAGGTCGTCCTGGCAAAAGGGAAAGGACAGGCTCCTGCTTGCTTATGTTGCCCAGAGCCACTCAATTTGTCACCAGCCCACACCTGCCGTTAGGCCCAAGGGCCAGTGGCCTCGCCACCCCCACAAGCAAGGCACGGCTCCCGATAAGCTTGCAAAGCTCAGTGCAAAGCTCAGGGGTGGCAGAGGAAGGACAACCCTGCCTCTCACCTCCCTCCCCTAGCCAGTGCTCCTCCAGCCGGCTCAAATGTCTCAACCACACTTCTGGAGCGGGATGGGAACAGTTCCCTCCCATCAGTAGAGGCTTGATACCACCCCACTGCTACAGCAGCCTGTGCGCCACGGCCCAGTGTGGTCAGGCCAGGAGCCACCATGAGTGGTTGAAGCTCCCATCTAGGGCAGTGCCTCTGCTGCCCGCGTTGCACTTGGACACTGCTGCTTTGTCTTGTACTTTGGTCTGCAGCTGCTCCAGCACCTCCCACCCCTCACGGGCCCTTTCCCATGCTGTGGCAGGGCTGGCTGAGCCCCAGTGCCTGGTGGCAGGTCTGCACCTGCGCTCACGAACCCTTGCTGGGGCAGGCTGGCCTACCCCCACCCTTTTAGGGCAGCCTGTTGAACTCACCTTGGAGGCATGTGCTCTGGAGCTCAGGTACTGCAGCCTGGCGCACTCCCGGATGTACACCGGAGCCTGGGCAGGAGAGAAAGTGGTAATGAGTTCAGGGGAAAGCTATCATTTCCCTTGCTTGGCTCCAGAGAGGAACCATGGCCCCACTGTGAACATCTCCCCAGGCACTCCCAGGAGCCAGCAGCTCCCAGCAGTCCTTTCAACAGGGATTCTCTCTGCTCAGTGCAGCTGCAGGAGTCCCTGGGTAGCGTGCTCCCAGCTGATGCATAAGACACAAGGGGAGCAGTGCAAAACCAGCCCCCAGTGTGCTGCCTTCCTGCATGCAAGCGCCTGGGCACCTGCAGAGGCCTATCTGGGGGCAGGACACTCATGCAGGAGGTGCACCCTGGCCAGGGCACACAGGCCTGCCAAGTGCTGCCTGAGGGCACCAGGCCCAGGAGACCCCAAGTGCACGGCAGAGCTGCTCACTGATCTGCTACACCCCACCATCCCCTCATGTCACAGCTGACTCCCTCCCTGGCTGATCTAGCACCTCCTGATGCTCAGCTGGGAACAGCTCCATGGGAAGCTCTCCCTGGAACAACCTTCCTTCCAGCCCCCCAGGCTCCCCAGCTGCGGGGCCCCTGACAGCATGCCCGACAAAGTGGGACCGGGGGTGTATCCTGGAGCCTGTTGGCGCCGATCCCCAGCTGGCCAGCAGAGGGCCACCATGTTAGGCCACATGGTGCTTGCTCAGGGCCAAGGCGGAAAGGCCAAGCCTTGGCGGGACACTGCTGTGTCCTGGGCTTGGGCTGGGTCAGTGTCCGAGCCAGCAACCCCGCTCCAATCACTGCAGGGAAGCAGCAAAAGCAGGCTCCCACAGGAGGGTGCACAGACCTCACTGTGGGCAGCAAGGAGCACCAGGGAGAGCAGGGACCTGGGGCCCACACCTTGAAGAGCTTCTGGGAGTGTTTGATCATGAAGGCGACGCCATTGTTGAGCTTGGTGATGTTCTCCTGCAGGTCGTTGGCTGTCACCTGGGAACGGAGACCCGGGGGGCAGGACAGTTAGGGCAAGGGGAGAAGGAAGGGGCTCTACGTCTTGGCTCCCAGGCAGGAGCTCTCACTGCTCCAGCCACTGCTGTTACATGGAGCAGACACTATGAGTGGTGCTCAGCGCTGTAGAGGTGTACAGGCTGGCACAGGACATAGTCCCTCACCTGCCAGGGCACCTCAGTTGAACAGAGCCCTGCAGTGAGGCTGCCTTGTGAGCAAGGTGCTTCTTAAAACCACTGAGATGTGCAAAGAGAGGAAGCAATGCATATGGCTACTCACATCTGCTGCATGGAGCCCCAGCCCCACCTCCCACTGCCCCAGCAGTGCCAACTGCCCTGTCCCAACCAGCAGCCGTGACCTGCTCCTCCAACCCTGTGCCCACAACCAGTTCTGGTGACCCCACTGCAGTGCCTTCTCCCATGGCAGCCTGGAGTCGCCCAGTGCCACATGGCTTCCCAAGTGCTGCTTACATTGCGGGGCCACAGGATGTGTGGCGCGAACATGAGGGCCAGGTTGTGGGCAGACATCTTGTTCTTGTCCTGCTTCTTGGCTGTCTGGTAGAGCAGGTCCAGCAGCAGCTTGAGCAGGCTGCGGTTGGGCGCAGGCAGGAGGAGGAAGAGCAGCTGCAGCGCCTCAATCTGCCGCTCCTTATCGGGGGCACCTGTCTTGTTGCCTTTCTCATCGAACAGCATCAGGTCTGCAAAGAGGGTAGGGGCCAGCTTTCATAGCCCGCATCAAGGAACTGCTCACTTCAGCTCACCCAGCACATGCGGCCTCCAGACGCTCCCACCCATCTCTCTTGCTTTCTGGTTCGCTTCCTCTGCATAAGAGATCTCGCCTCTCTAACTCCAGCCCTCCTGCTGGTGGGGTCAAGAAGCATGTGGGGAAACAGGTCAGGGATGGTCTACGTGCAGTGATGCCTGTGTTCTGCTGTGGGGGTGTCCCAGGTTTCTGGGCTGTGCTAGTTGCCTCCACACCCCTTTCTGCTCCATGTGGCAGGAGGCTTTTAAGTTTCCCCGAGAGGTGCTGGGTGCTGATGCAGCCCAGGCTGGGGATGGGGCTGGGCTGTGCCAATGTTCCTGCTGGCACCAATCCTGCAGGGTCCTGGCTGGAGGTTCTTTCCCCTGGACGCAGGCTCAGCCCCACACTGCACTGGGGCAGGAAGGGATTTCCCCCCTGCTCAGACTGGTGTGGGCTGCAAGGTTTTGCCTTCCTCTGCAGTGGGGGCACGGCCTGGGCCTGGGCTCTCTGGAGTGTCCATGAACCCCGGGAAGCAGCAGGACGTTGACAGCTGTGGCCCCCCTGTGTTTCCAGGGGCAGGGGTGGGAGTGATGCCTGGGGCTGTGTCAGGGGTGACAGTAGTTTTACAGAGTTAGATTACAGATTTGTCTGGGCTGGTTTGGATAGGGCTGGTCCTGCCTCAAGAAGGGCTTGGAACAGAGGTGACCCCTATGGGTCCCTCCCAGCTCCACGGCTCTAGGATATCTATGAAAGTGCCCTTTTCCCCTGCCCTTGAGTGCCTCTGAATTCCTCCCCCAGAGAAAACCACCTCCAGAGACAAATGTGGCTGCGCAGGGTCCTTTGGCATTAGCTGCCCCCAGCCGGCCTGGTCCCCCTGCTTTGCACATTGCTGCCCACTCACCTGCAATCTTGAGGTGGGCATGAAAGTGCTTGCGCGTGAGCAGAGGCTCCGGCAGCTCACCCAGGAACATCTTCAGCAGCGTGGCCACATCATTGGAGTGGAACTCCCCCGAGTCCAGGTCCACGTCCATCCCACTGTTCAGGGCCTCCTTCAGGAGCTGCTGGCGGACGCTGTTCCCTGGCACCCGGAACAAGCCTTCCACACGTAGGTCTGCCCAGAGGGAGTAAATGAGAGTGCCTGTCAGCCTCGTACTGCAGCCCATGCCCAACCCCATGTCCCATGAACTGCCTGCAGAGCCCAGGCTGCAGCAGGTGCCTCACGTCCCTCCCATCTCAGAGCCTCCAGGGGTGCCAGGGCCCCAGCACCAGCAGGCACTCCTGGCTGAGGACAAGCTGAGGGTTTGCTGTTGCCCTCTACTGCACACACCTATTGGATGCAGCCAGGCATGACAGTGGAGCCACTTACTCTTGTGCAGGTACTCGATCAGCTGAGAGACTTGGGCGATGCCTTCTTCTGTCAGCGGAGACCCGAACACCACCCCTTTGTCTGAAACAAGTGTGGGGAGTGAGCCACGTGGCCCAGAACCAGACCTCTGGCCCGAAAACCGCCCAACCAGCTCCAAGAAACATTTCCCTGACAAGACCAGGCTCTCCAGTGCAGGGATGGGACAAAGCAGTTCTGGTTCTGAAAACATGGTGCCTAAAGATCATAAATGCCCCCCTTAGACAGGACATGACACATATCCCCCAGCAGCTCCTTGTGAAGGCAGCAGTCGGAGACTTGAAGCAGGCCTGCTTTTAACCCAATGCCCATGCAAATGGATCCTCAGCAATTTTTTGAAGCACACATAGGATCATAGAAAATGAGGGCTGGAAGGGACCTCAGGAGGTTGCATCTAGTTCAACCCCCTGCTCAAAGCAGGACCAGCCCCAACCAGATCATCCTAGCCACATCTTTGTTGGGTAAGGCCCTAAAAACCTCCAGCGATGGAGATGCCACCACCGCTCTGGGAAGCCTGTTCCAGTATTTTACTACCCCTTCTAGTGAGAAAATTCTTCTTACTGTCTAACCAGTTCCCTTGCTGCAACTGGAGCCCATTGCTCCTTGCTTTGCCATCTACCACCACTGAGAACAGTCCAGCTCCATCCTCTTTGCAACCCCTCTGCAGGGAGTTAAAGGCTATTAAATCCCCGCTATTAAATCTCTTCTCCAGACTAAATAAGCCTAGTTCCTTCAGCTTCTCACCAGTCCTGTACCCCAGCCCATAACCATTTTCATTGCCCTCCGCTGGACTCTCTCCAATGTGTCCACATCCTTTCTGTACTGGGAGACCCAAAACTGGACACAGGACTCCAGATGTGGCCACCCCAGTGTTGAATCGAGGGGAAGAATCACTGCTCTCGATCTTCTGGCAACGCTCCTACCAATGCAGCCCAGGATGCCAGTAGCCTTCTTGGCACCAAGGGCACACTGCTGGCTCCTATTTAGTTTCTTGTTCCCTGTCCCCCCAGGTCCTTTTCTGCCCATCCAGTCACCCCCAGCCTGCATGGGATTACTCCATCTTAAGTGCAGGACTTTTTACTTGTCCTTGTTGAACCCTATGAGATTTCTTTTGGTGCAATCCTCCAATCTGTCTAGTTTACTCTGAATCCTAGCCCTACCCCCCAGCATTACTCCTCCTCCCAGCTTGGTGTCATCAGAAAACTTGCTGAGAGTGCACTGCATCCCATCTTCCAGGTTGTTGATGAAGGCACGGAACAAAACCATCCCCAGGGAATCCACTGGATACTGGTTGCCAGCTAGACATTGAGCCACAGATCACTACTCTCTGAGCCCGATGCTGTAGCCAGTTTTCTATCCCCCATACAGTCTATTCATCCAACCTGTACTCCCGTAGTTTGCCTGCGATAATGTTGTGGGAGATGCATGTGAGAACAGCCACGTTGGAGCCAATGCTCCAGCCCTGCAAAGGCAGGTCTGCCAGGAGTGGCTAAGGGAGGAAAGTCACCCCCAGCACTCTCATTACCCGTTTCAAGCTCTCTCAGGTGGATGCACTGCATGGAAGCAGGGATTTGGGAAGCTCTGGCTGTGGCATATTAATCCTGCCAGCTGTGTAGATGAACCACACAAACATGCTGGACCCAGCCCTGAGCTCAGCTGCAGCCCTATGGCCTGACGCTCCCATGCAGGCTGGAGACACAGTTAAGGGAACAGTTCAGTCCAGTCCACACTGCAAGATTCAATGCTGTCTTTTGGCTTGAGAGAGACTTGTGCCCAGTGAGGCTGATCTCACGCAGACCATGGCAGTGGTGGGAAGGGAGGTGCCTGCTTGGTGCACAGTGATAGCTGGGCGCTGCCCAGGCAGAAGAAAGAACAAAAGAGATGCAGTCAGGAGAGGAGAGTGAGAGCTACAGGTGAGACCAGCTGCGGCCTGGCTGGGGAATGCCCGTTGGCTCACATTTGCAGACACTGTTTGAGGAGGCCAGACTAGTGGAATCAGCTTCTGCCCCCCCCGACCTGCATGAGCAGAAGTGCGGTGCCAGATGGCCGGACAAGACACAGGAAGAGCAGGAAGCATGGAGGCAAGCTGTCTCATGGTGGGAGGCACCTCACCCACAACCACGGGTGGACTGTTCTCTCGGCAGGTGGAAGATTCCCAGCCACTGGCCAACAATTCAGGTGCACAAATCCTGAAGCAACAAGGCATGAAAACAAGCTGAAAGGGGCAGGCCAGACGGACAGGAGAACAGGACCAGACAAGGGGCTCATTCAAGTGAAACTGGCTTGCTAAGCCAGTGCAGAAACCTTCCTGCCTGCAGAGGCTCCAGGGTGGGAGTGTTGCTGTCAAGGAGAGGAGCACAAACACAAACACTGCCACCCGGACTGCCCAGGCCTGCGGTCCGTTCCACTGGGCCTAGGTTAGGCAGCCACAGGAGACCAGCTGCCCTCACCACTCTCCTGAAGGAAAGCCCAGCTTCTAAGGCTGATGAGGCCATGGGGCTGGTGTTGGAACAAACCTTTTGGCAAGCAGGCCAATGGAAGGGCTATCAGACATTGTGTCATTCACTGTGCTGCCTCCTGAGACCTTTGGGATATGCCATCAGCCCCCAGGAATTCCCACTTCCTGCTGGTCAAGACGTGTAAGGACTCTCTTGGATCAGGTACAAGCAAAAGCCTCCCAGTTCTGTAGGAAGGAATGGTGTCAGAAGGGAGGGATGGTTTGCAACGGCAAGCTGTCCTCGAGGGAAGCCAAGCAAGAGGCTTGGATACTGAGCCAACAAGTTTGGAGTCTTTGGCAGCCAGGAGAGGGCTGAGCAGACACCTGGGGGTATGCTCAGGGCAGAGGATTACACAGTTTGGAGGGCTGGACCTGTTCTCCAGACAAGAAGTTAAAATCCAGATGAACACTCGATTCTCAGAAGACTTTGAAAGCACCTGGGAACAGGCACCGAGCTGCAGCAGTCTTGAAAATGCTCCATTACGGGTGAACCCAGAGGCAGAACCATCCTGCACAATGGTAAGACCTTCTCATGACAGTGTGCGTCTGCTTCCAGATGAGGCAGAACTGGGAAGTGCCGACTCCAGCTTGTAGAGTTTTGAAGAATCATTATTTGCCCTCCCAGGTCCACCGCTGCAGACCACAGAGAAAGCTTTGCACTGAGCTGGACCGCAGCTGATCAGATGGGACCGACGTCACTGTCCCTGTGACCAGAGGCTGAACCATCTTTAATGCTCAGGCTCACCTCCAAAGATCAGGTAGAGGGGAAAGGCTAATTAGTGGTAACGAGAGGCGTGAAAAGAAGCAGCCTCCAGAGATGGCAGGGCTCAGGCAGGGGCCAGGGGGCTGCTGTCTGCTTTGAAAATGTGGAAGACAGTTTCAGGCGAGGTGAGCAATCAGATCCCAGCAGTACCAGGTCTGCCTGGTTCATGGACTGGAGAGCAGCTGCTCCAGGTCTAGAATGAGGATGTGTGGAGCAGGCCACATTGGTTTCTCCTGGCTGGCAGGCACAGTCTGTCCAGGGAGTGTCACAGCAAAGTGTCTCCAGGACAGAGAAAGGATATTGGAGTCAGCAGAGACCTCTCCCCAGCCCAGGCATGCAGCCAGCAGGCTCCGAAGCACCTGCCAGCGTCACAGTACTATGGCCACGCCGCCATGGAAGGATTCAGAGGCCACGTTTAGAAGCATGAGGTCCCAGGGACATTTTTTGAGGAGCCTGCACTGCTAGTTGAAGACACTCATTTTGAAAGCTATTAAAATGGAGTTCCAGAACAGTAGAATCAATACGCTTCAAAAAATCCAAAATCAACAGAGACGAGGAAACCTCATGAGCCTCCTCGAAAGGCCGTTTGGAGAATGTGGAGATTTCTGCATTATCTTTATGAAAAATTCTGCCTGATTTGGTTTCCCCACTATCTGTATTATGTACCAGGTTGGAAGGGCACGTCGTATTTCTCGAGGCACAGGGAGAGAAGTGTTGTACAGTCAGCTGGGGACAGAAGGGGCTAGCCTTTGGCATGTAGCACAAGGACCTGGCCTACATGTAGACCTCTGTGCAAGCTGCACTGAGATAAGTTGAACCAGGAGGGTACAGGAGCTGCCTGACTTGCATGGGTGGTGCTTTAGGGCCTGGTACTAGTGGTACACCCTGGGTGAGCCCATGTAAAAACTTTAGGCAAAGCAGTCCCTGAAAAGCCAAGACAGACGGGTAACTCCCTGCCTTCCGAGACCAGGAGAGATTAAAGAGAAGCAAGCAGCCACAGCAGGCAACACTTGAAGGAAACAGGCCACAGCTCTGCCTTGCCAGCAGACAGTTGGGCTAAAGGGGGAAGCTCTGGCCAAAGGCAGGTAAGTACCGGGGGGGCCGCACAGACAGTTAAATTGTTTCTGCCCTGCTGGGTGAGGAGATAGCAAGACTTCCAGAGGCACCTAGGCATTCCTGGTGATGGGGAAAGGGAAATTTGAACAGACTCATTTGTAGAGAGTCCTTCACAGCATAATGTCAGGGCTGGGCTGTGGGTGCCAGCTCACAGGGAAAGGAGGTAAAGCACTGGGAGGACAAGGTGTCCAAGGCAGAGCCCGGAGTCCTGAAACAGAGGAGGCCGCTGCAGAGCGACTCTGCTTCCCCCCTTTCAGTCCAGTGAATCTTAAAGGGAGCTGGGAAAGCAGAAGCAGCTCAGGCTCTGCTCTTGCTGGGCCAGGACGCGAAGGCAGGAGGAACCGAATGGAACAGCCCCAGAGGTTGGACTGTGCTCCCTTTGCAGGCAGGTGTGCCACCAACCCCCTGTAACCAGGGGTGGCCCAATGTGAGCGCAGGCTGGGGCAGCTTACCTGCACCCGGGATCCCGACCGGCACGGATGTGACTCTTGAGAGTTGAGCCGAGGTCTGCGCAGAGGGCAGAGGGTGGTGCCAAGTGTTGGCTATGGAGATGAGAAGGCCGGAGCCTGAGCATTACTTCTTTCCAACACCAACGGTCCTTCTGTGTCTACTCTTGCCACCTTTAGCATTGCCCTGTGCTTAATAGGGACAGGCTCTAAACTAAGGAGAACTCCACAAGTTGCAGACGGAAACTCAGGGCCACGAGAGGCAGAAGAAAGACTGGACACCTGAATTACTGACACAAGACTTCAGTGTCTGATGGGGTGGGCCTGCCCAGGTCCGGTATACCCATCCAGAAACAGATGGAGCTGGGTTGCGCAGTCTGAGGTCACCAAAGCAGCGTCTGCTTACACTGAACCCACTGGGACCCAAGACTGACTAGAGCTGGGGGAGCTACTGCAACCTAAGAATAAGAGTGACCTCTGGGAAACAAGGAGAGCAAATGCAAAGGTCTCCCTGTGGCAACTCTGGGTGCCAAGTGCACGTCAAAGGAAGCGGGTTACCTTGCATTCAGCCACTTCTAATGAGCTGCCATCCTGGTTTTGCCTTGTCCCTCAGGCTAGCAGCCCAGCTGCTGGTAACAGCCCCAGCATTAGGCACTGAGCAAACCTCTGGCCAGCTCTCCAAGGGCTCACACCATGTACAAGGGCACAACTGGTGGGTGCAGCAAAGACCATGGGCAAAGCGCCTGCCTCTCAAGGACAAGCTCAGAGTGGGAGTTTGGTGCATGGTACAGCTAACTTCCAAGGCCCACATCAACTGGCAGAGCTGGGTTGCTGGCTCTGGACACTGCTCACCTTTCCGCTTCAGAGACATGAGGGACCGAAAGAATCCCGAGGCTGTGCTGGTCCCGCCAGGCAGCTTGGGCTCCTCCTCCCCCATCAGCTGGGCCAGCTCTGTCCCAGGCAGGTCAATGAGCCGGGTGATGTTGCTGACCACGAGCTCTGTGAAGACTTCGGGTTTCTCATGCCGCATCTTCTCCACAAAGAAGTCAGGGTTGAAGATGATGGGCTGGCCGCGCAGAGAGGGGTCATTGCAGATGACAAAGTTGCAGATGGTCTCACTGAGAACGGAAAAGAGAGACAGTCAAACTCTTCCTCCCGACTCACTCAGGCAGCTGCAGCCTCTCTGCAGCCTGGATCGGATTCAGAAGATAGCTGCTGGCATGAGAGCTGCCAGCGCTCTCCCATCTCCGCTGTCCCAGCAGTGCCGGGGACCTGCAGCACACTTAGCTTGAATGGATGTGAGGAAATATTTATTCACTGTTAGAACTGTGAGGAAGTGGAGCAGATGCCAGAGAAGAGGGGACTCTCCATCCCTGGAGGTGTTCGAGCAGAGGCTGGACAGCCACTAGTGAGGGATGACCTAGGCGCAGCAATGCCTGTGCTCTGCTATAGGGAAACACTTGGCTATCCCCTCTCCTTTCTGCTCCATGTATCAGGGGGGTTTTAATCCTCCCCCAGAGGCACTGGGTGCTGGCTGCAGTCCAGGCTGGGGACAGGACTGGGCTGTGTCAATGCTCCTGCTGCCACCAACACTGCAGGGTCCGGGCTGGAGGGTCTTGCCCCCGCACTCAAGGTCAGCCCCATGCTGCGCTGCCATCAGGAAGGGATTCCCCCTGCTTAGACTGGTCTGAACCGGTGGGATTTTGCCTTCCTCTGCAGCAGGGGCATGGCCTGGGCCTGGGCTCTCTGCAGTGCTCACAACCCCTGCGGCAGCAGTAAGACATTGGCACCTGTGGCCCCCCTGTATCCCAGGGGCAGGTGTGGGTGCAAAGCCTGGGGCTGTGTCAGGGGTGACTGTGTTGTGTGGCTCTCTGGTTGCACATGGGGTTTGTCTGGGCTGGTTTGGACAGGGGTGATCCTGCCTCAGGCAGGGCTGGGACTAGATGCGACCCCACAGCTCCCTGCCAGCCCAGTTTCCCTATGATTTTAAGACTCATCATCACTCAATCTGGTGGCCAGGGCAGTCTCATACAACAAAGAACAGAAACATGGGACTGGGCAGGACCTGGGTCAGTGTGTCCAGGCCTCAGCCTCACAGGCGCCCACACCCAAGCATCCCTTTCATAACCAGGTTACGCGCCATTAGTTTTCTTGTCCCCGTCCTCCTGGTGGGAGGCTGCTGCAGAATCTCACTGCTCCCCTGATTAAGTAATTTTCTGCCTAAATTGGTTCACAGCCAGTTTGCACTCATTTGTTCTTGTGCATGCTCCAAACTCGTAGCTAGAAGCTTCCTTTACTGTGGGGTCAGCACTCTCCTAGGTTTTGCTTCATGTTATAATTAGCAGTGCCTGAGACAAGATACAGAAAACGCCGCAAGAAAGCTGTCGCATGGCTCCTTGCTGAGCCTTGATAGCAAGATTTCAGGCCACTAAACACCCTGAGAGGGAGAGATCTCAGAGAAGAAGAAAAATGGCCAACCAGACTTCCACCCTCAGAAGCTGACCATTGCTGGACAACAGAACAGGCCAGGGGCCGATCTGCAGGAAGGCACAGCAGCGTTCACAGACTGTAAAACAAGAGCAGAGCTTGGTGGTCATCTGCACAGCGCTGGCCACGAGGCTCCCCTGAATGAGCCCCTACAGGAACTCAGGCTGGGTGGCCCACAAGTGCTTAACTGGCAGCCCGTGGGGTCCTGCCACCCTTATAGCTGTGGCTCCCTGCACCTTCCCCTATGGGTCTGGGCATTGTTCCCCCAGCTATCACTGCCTCCTGCTGCTGCCACCAGCGCCATCTTCTTCCATCTCACCTCCAGGACACTGGGGTTTGTGGGATCCCCAATCTCTTCTCCAGTTTCTGCTTCATACCCCCCACTAGCAAAAGGGCAGTGGCAGGAACTGTGCGGTTGTGCCTTATTTTGCAGTTATTTGTCCCTTCAGCTTCCAGCACTGGCAGAGAATCCAAGGAGTCCTCTCTGCCAACATCCGTGCCCCACACAGGCACTGCTGGGCTGCAGGCAAGTCGCCTCCAGCTTCTCTCAGATGACTGGGTAGACCAAGCTCCTCGCCCCTGTCATTAGGACACAGCAGGGAGATGAACCCTGGGTCACTGAAGCCGTGCCCTGCTATTGTAGAAGCCCATGCCGTAAGCCCACCCATGGCCTGCTTATGCTCTGTTTTAAAACTAAATGAGGAGGAGTGGGAACAAGCAACCTGCTGGAAGGGCTTTCCACAGCATCCTTCCTTGGATGACTAGGAAGCTTCTTCTAATGTCCAGTCGAAGGGTCACAGCCAGCTCATGCCCACGTGGCTCCTGTGCCAACACTGTCCCATTTACCTTACAGAGGACCTGCCCTCCCTGACGTATTCCCTGACACATCACCTCTCAGACTCACTGCGTTGTGCTAACAGAGCCCGGTGCATCGCCTGCACCAGTCAGACGGGTTCTCCGCTCCCCACTCACCCTAGCAGCCTTTCTCCACACCCATTCCTGTTTGAACTCATCTTTCTTCAGTACTGGTAGCCAGCACTGTCTGTGGTACACCAGCGGAGCTGAACTGTCACCATCCTTGTTTCCGATATACATTTGCCATTGTACCTCTCACCCAACACACCCTTGGATCACATTCTCTCGTGCATGGGTACGTCACACTGGTAGCTTACAAATCATCCTGCGATCAGCTACCTTTGGTAAACTCATTTGCTTTTTTTATTCTCTCTTCCATTTCCTCTCATCTTTAATTTATTTCTTCCTCCCTTGTTTGCTCTTAAGCCTATGCATTACTGGCCTCAAACTATAGGCCCATTAAGTGCCTTGGCCCAGTCCTTGCAACTGGAACACACCACAAGCTTTCACTGCAAGACATGCCATCACCCCTTCCATCATCTCAGTAGCAGTTGCCAGACAGAGGTGATCTGATTTTTCTGTGCCTGCTCAACACCATGTGGCAAGGACTGCACTAGCCCACTGGGCCTCAAGCTCAAGTTCAGGCAATTAGCCCCCCACACCTTGCAAGGCCATTACAGAGCCCCCCCTCCGCCCCCTGTCCAGCCTTCCAGCCCAACCTGCTTTCTTGGTTGTTGGATATGTGGCTGTCCATTGAATCGGGTCCAAACACAGCAAGGCAGAAAATGTGAATCCTATTACTTCCTTGTCTTTTCTCTTGCACGGGGAAACAATCCCTTGCAACAGGGTCGTACCTCCAAAGCAGACTCGGCCAGTTAGGAACTAAAAACCAGGACGGGTCTGATGTGTGAAAACCACTGGCAGAGTCAGGTCCGAGACGACATCAGGTCTTTCCTTGAGCTCTGTGGAGGCTTGGGCTGGAAGCCCAGCCAGCCAGCATTCAGGAGCATGGCAATCCAGCAGCAAGGGAGTCAGACAATGCACTCTTTAGTTGTAACCCAGTAATTACAAAGAGCAGCTAATAGAGAAGACAGAGCAAAAACAACAAAGCATCCACCGGTGAGCTACCCATCTAAATAGTTTTTCACCATCATTATCGTGAGCCGCAGTGACCAGCTGAATGACTGCTGTGTGCCTTTGCCCTAAAAAGCCAGGAGGACCTGGGTATTGCTTCTCAGCCAAGACAACATGCGCCTTTGAAATCCAAGTGGAAGGCACCTGCTGGGATTGCTGGAAGCCTGGACCTGCAGCCAGCATTTGCTACCTGGGTCTAGTGAGAATCCCAGCGGAAACCTCCTGCTGTCCTGGACTGCCGACACAGCAGAGGTTATTTGGAGAGGACAGTGGAGGATAACAGCCTGCAAGAGGCCAGGTCCCCATAGCCTCTGGCAGGAGGCAAAAGCCTCATAAGCTGCATGCCTCAAGGAGGCCAAGACTTCGTGCGGGACGTTCCTGGCTAGGAGGCACCTCCCTGGTTTCTCGGTGGGTTGTGCTGCCCAAGAGCTCCAGGCCAAGATGGTCAGTCCCAGCTGCCAATCCATCCGGCCGTGGTCACATGCTGTTGAATGGGGCTAGTAACATGTGTGCAAATGCCAGCACGGCCCAACAGCGGGAGGCCAGAGGTCTTTGCCTGAAACCCGTAACCCACTTTGAGCCAAAGAAAGTCCCCAAGAAGAACTAATGACTCCACAGGCCCCGTGACCCTGCCTTGCAGTGAGCCCAGTGCCGGCGTTCACATGCTAGCAGGAGACATGCTAATACTTTTCGGCAGTTACACGAAACAGCACAAGGTATTCGTGCCCTCCATCCATGATTATGGCTGGATTCAGGGGGAGGAGAAATTAAATTACTCTGTAGCCTAGACCCGCCTGGCCCGATCGCTATGTGCGCGCCAGGGGCTCCCGGCACAGCCAGCCCGATGGCACCGACTGCAAAACCAGAAAAAATCAGATGTCTTACATGAGCGCGGAGAGCTTCTGGAGCGGCATCAGGAAGCAGGCACGCAGGGAAAAGAACTCAGTCCTTGTTCCCAGCGACAACACAGCCCGCTGGCCCCAGCGCAGCCTATGCAAATTCCACACATGCTGCGAGACACAAGGGCACATTATTGGACCTGAAAGGCCCCCTTGGCACGCCCTGGGCATCGGCCTTCTTGCAGAGACAAAACAGGGCAGAAAAGCTGGACAGATGGATGCATGTCCCTTGCCAGAGGCCACTGATGCTGCAGCCAGGGCTTTGAACCAGGCAGCCTGGGCAATAGCGATCTTCACCCGAACCCAAGGCCCAGATCAGATCCCCCTGTGCTACTAGTACTGCAAGGAAGCAGGTCCCCAGCAGGATGAAAGCACAGTGAGGGGGCCCTGTGTTGCTATGTCTCTGTATTGTGCCAAAGCCGTGAGCCCCATGGCTCTGCCCCATGCCCCGTTGGCACATTTCTGAGGTCCTCACCAGCCCCTGTGCATGTGTTTCTTGCCTTCAGGCTGGAGACTGCTCCCCCGTGCCACCCACTGACCATGTACTACAGCCCCCTCAGCAGTGCTGGCAAGTCCTCTGCCCCACTTGGCTCCCTGGCTAACCAGCTGGAGCCAGCCTGGTCCCTCCCGTTCAGGTGCTGCACTTCAAGCCATTTCATTCGGGAGGTATCACCCCTCCCACCTGCACACGCAGATGCCAGAGTATCGTTACTGCTCATTAAATAGGAAGTGCAAAGCGAGGCCGCATTTCCGCACAGAGGGAAGGGCCCCACGGGCCCCGAACACAATTGCTCTGTCAATCTGCTGTGCTGCAGTGTCACCTTCACACAAAGCCCGAGGCTCCTGCCTGCCAGGCTCCTGCTAAAGAGGGGGGCTGGATGCGCTCCGCCCACACGCCGTGTACAGAGGGGGCGGGCGGCTGTTCGCAGACGCCACTGCCATTGTCTGCTTTGTTGGCAGGCGGGATTACCTTTCATCTCGCCTGTAATGTGCTGCTCGTCGCTACCGTCTGCGAGCGCTGTACAAGATCTTAAAGCAAATAGAATAAAGGGCCCAATAGCTTTCCATTGCCACGCACAGCCCTCTTGCCCATGGCTTCATTGCTTGGCTGAGGCTTGGTTGTATTAGGTTTGGTTTTATTGTGCAGGCAGGCAAATCAAAGCAGAGAGCCCTGTGTTTTGCTTAGAAGACGTGAGATTCGCAGCGATACTAGCAGCTCTCGAGAGCGCGGCCTTTGATCTGGGGCAAGCTGCACAGGAACCTGTCGGTCACACGTCTCCCCCGGGTGACAGCTCTGTTCCTGTGGGTGCAGCTGCTAGAGGAGACCGCGCTCATGTAGGGTGCCCTGACCCTCAGGTGGCTTCACTGATAAGGACTAAATTGAGAGAGATCCACGTTTGGCACAATCTCCCTTCACAACCAAATGGGATGGTAAAAAGTCAGGAAGGCAATGGGAAACGGCCAGGCCAGTTGGCCGAGCACCAGCTACACAGTATGAGACCCCTGTTCTCCCAACTTCCACCGAGCTCCAGAAGCGCGTGTGGGGTCAGACACGGGTCCAGGTGGCACAAAGCAGGAGCAGAGGTAAGGCAGGAATAAGGAACAAAAGGAAGTATCTGTGCAAGGGCCAGACTGGCCCAGCTGGGGTAGCACCTGGCAGCTGATTGCTCAAGTGCCCTGTGACAATATGGCTAATACGTGTCCATGCCCCAAGCGACCGGGTGCCAGTTGAAAGCCTGGTGGACTGGAGAAGGTGCTGGTGTGAATCCAGAGCTAGGCCCAATCTCCATCTCCAGACGTGCAGTGAGATGCCACGGCCACTGCCACCTCACTCCTTAATGTACATGGTGCAGGAACAAAACACCTCTGCGCACCACATGGTGATCTCTGCACTCATTGAAGTCACTGCACACTTGGGCTACCCCTACATTTAGGAGCAGAAGAGTTGAGAGTTTATGAAATAAGGCAGAAGAATGGAAGAAAGACTCCTCATGCCAGAAGACAGGAGATGAGAGGTTAGTTAACAAGAGACAGCGAGACTAGCAGGAGACACACTGGGCAGACGGATCAGCAGACCTGGCCAGGAGATAGCATCTGCGCCTGGATGAGTGGAGCAGAAGACAAAGCCACCTAATTCCCCAGGGAGCAGGACAAATTGCCATGCGCCCAGAGCAGGGAAATCCAGCAGTGAGAATGGCTGAAGGTGAAACCCCAGGGTCGGAGGGGCCAGCCCACATTTCAGGAATAGCAGGTTGGGAGGGAGGGAAGGAAGAACCATTAGTGGAGTGACTTGAATGCCCTTCGAGTGCCAAAGGCCTGGCAAACAAGGTACCTCCTCGGTTTATGAAAGGATGCAGGGGAATCCTAATGGAAATGTATTTGGGAGGCAATAGGCAGGACTCCATAGCTCGCACGGAAACATGTACTTAAATGGAGAACAGCAGCCCTTTCAACTGCAGAACAAATGCTGAATTCAGGCCCCAGATTTGGCAGAACAGCCCTGCCGAGGAGAACGGATTGTTCTGCACGGATCTGAAAGAAAGCGGTTAGTGACTTCTCCTTAGGGTCATACTTACAAGCTCTCTGCGGCAGAGCTGGTCTTTGTGACGCAGGAGGCGCGGTGTGCACAACAGGCCGCCGCTCTCCAAAATGGAGTCGACAGACAAATCCCAATTCAAATAATGGCATAATAGAAAGTGCCCCCCGTTGAGGAAGCCAGGCAGCATTCCCACATTTGTTTAGGTTGCTCCAACTTAAAAGATCATTTCAAAAGAAAATATAAGAGACAAATTCTGAACAGGCCTCCAGTCCCACGTGGGCCAAAGTCTTGTCCGTCTTTCAGCCATCAGCTAAGCACAATGGTCCCATTATCACCACACTGTTATAATTAAACTGAATTTCACCAAAGCAGGCAAACATCTGCCCCACATTTACAGATCCAGAGGAAGGGCACTTAGCTGGGAAGACAGATGTGATGGAGGAGTCAAACAGATGCTGCCTGAATTCTGCCCATTGGTTATAAGCAGGATGTGTATAGCAGTGTCTTTTATTGGGCTTATAGCTGGGAGGGATGTTAGCAAACTTTTGGGTACAAAACATCCTTTCCCAGGACTGGGAAAGGAGCAGATAGAGCCTAAGCTGCATACCAGCAAGGACACCACCCAGAATGCATTTGGGGTATTAATCACCACTGCAGTAACAAAGACTCATCAAGGCTCACATGGCATTTCACTGACCTCAATTTCCAAGTATTCAGAACTTTCTCAAGGAAATTTCTGCTTTAGGAAGAAGCTCCTTGTGTTTGATCTCAGCCAAAAAATATCAGCAATTTAACAAAACCCATGTTACTGTTTCCAAGTTGTCAAGCAGAGGAGGAAAGACCCAGCAGCTGCAGTGCCCAAGGGCTCCCTTGAGCAGAAACTGTACCATGGGCAGGAGCTGCACTGTTGGCTGAAACCCTCCCATGAGAGCATGCAGCAAATCAGACCTGCCCTTCCTCCATAAGACAGATGAGGTGCACTGGATCCACACGGCTCTTAGAAAACTGCAGGCTGCGATACAAACCTGTGCATGGGAGGAGAAATCGTGCTACAGAAGCTGTAATGCCAAACTCCTGGGATTATGTCCACCTAAAGTCTCTCCTCAGCAGTCACGATGACAATGCATTTGCATGCGATCTAGAAACAAAAAGCTACGTAGCATTCATCTCTGCTTCCAGTGCTCCCCAAGCTGTTATTATTTTAATGAAAACCCCAGAAGAGGCAGGGATGCTAATTCAGCTGCTGTGACTTGTATTACGCTGGTACTTAGCATCTCAGTCACGGGCTAGGACTGCTGTGCTAGGCACTGTGCATACAGAACAGAGATGGCAGCTTCCGATTCCAGGCTGGGATGAGACAACAGATGAGACGGATGCAGGAGCAAAACCACCAGACCTGGCAGGGAGCTCCCAGCTGAGGCCTCTGAACATCAGCAGTTTCAGTCACTGCAAAGCAGAGCTGGGGTCAGAAGGGGAAGGGAAGCAAGTCTGCAGGTACCCCAGAGCATGTCCCCAGCTGGAGGGCCACAGGGGGAATGCCCAAAGGTACTGGCCTGAAAATTTGCCAGACCAAGCTGGAGGCTGGGGTTGCGAGCTGGCCGGACAGGCATCAGCCTCCCTGCACCCAATTCCAGCCAACGGGAGGGCCATGAAGGGCCTGGGATGCAACCAGGCAGCTTACACTTGATGCAGCAGAGAAGAGGGGGCCTGAGAGGCATTCAGAGATGTGACCTGAGCGACGCGGCCGGCTAGGATGGGAACACGTTGGGAGCACCTCTGACCAAGCCAGCTGCAGAAGGGAGGAGCGGGCAGCTCTGGAGATGGGTTGGGGGAAATCCTTGCCCGAGAGGCACCACGTACCTAAACCCCCAGTCCATGGGTCACGGCACCACTCCCCTCAAGTCACAGAGGCCACTGCTGGCAGGAAGCAAAGTCTCAGTTTCAGGGCTGGCTACTCTAAGAATTCAAGCTCATGGGTTTTTGTAGAGGACAGGGTTTGTTCCAGAGCCCAAAGGGTGGCTGTTCCAACTCCTCCTTCAAACTCAGGGCCTGATTACCTGGGAGGGCTCCTCTGGTGAATGCTTGTGCTGTGACTATGTAAGAGGGGGTCACGTTGCTTTGTTCATGCCAACTGAAGCTCCTTGCGCCAGCTCTGCATACCTTCAGCACTCCCCCTCAGCACCCTGAACACAGGTCTTACAGCTTGGCTACAGATTAGGGGGTCACAGAATATGAGGGCTGGAAGAGACCTCAGGAGGTCACATCTAGTCCAACCCCCTACTCCAAGCAGGAGCAGCCCCAACTACATCATCCCAGCCAAAGCTTTATCTACCTGGGTCTTAAACACCTCCAAGGATGGAGAGTGCACCACCTCTCTGGGAAGCTTGTTCCAGTGCTTCCCCAGCCTCCCCATTAGAAAGTTTTCCCTAATATCTAACCTCAACTTCCCTTGCTGCAACTGCAGCCCATTGCTCCTTGTCCTGTCATCTGGCCCCAATGACAATAGTCCAGATCTATCCTCTTTG